GAAGAACTTTTCAGAGTTCATGTAAAGGCTGTTTATATTCGACTCAGAGAGCTACCACAGGCAAGTCTAAACAGCAGACAAGCTGGTTGAGGTGTTGTACATCTGGTGTGTCTAGACTCGGCTTTGGCATCGTCATCTGACTGCACTGACCAGGGCATGATTTACGATGCTAATTCCGGACTAATGCTTGGTAAACACTGCTGTCTGGGGTGCATCTATACATGGTGGTGGGTCTTGGACAAATGTTGCCATGGGCAACCATCTTGCTAAATAACGGTAGCTTCACACGAATGAGAAGCCAGACTTTTAAAAAGACTTTTTCAATTAAGGTGAAAAAAAAAACATCAAACCATTTTTATGGCAGATTTTACAGCAGCGGACCTTGAGTTTTTCTTTTTTCTTATTTCATTTTTTTAAATATATATCAAAACCAATGTGGCTGCCAGTCATAACACCATTCTCAAGGCCTAGTAATAACCATCAGGTTCGGCTTGGCACTTCTCTCTTCACAGTGGAGGATGGTTGTTTGCAGCGCAGGCGATTTCTGGTGACTTCATAGTGTTGAACTGGCGCATTACATATGTCACGGACGCAAATGTTAGCAATTGGATAAAATTTTAAACTTTAGCAGCAACAGCTTCTCAATAGCAGACAGTGCAGGCCCTCTGTACAAAGCAAGTAACTTTGAACAAGGACTGGTTTTTGAAAGGCTAAAGAATAACTAGATTCTGAAAATACTTGAGTTCCCACTCCCTAAAAAAGCTTATAACTGCCTATTCTAATAGTTCAAACACCAAATATATCTTAATACGCATTAGTACGCAGAGTAGAAACCGTTTTAGTGCCAACACAGAAGCTAGCATCTACAATTTTATTGATATCCGCTCTTCAGGCTGTAGCCAATTAGCTCTTGCTGGTGCTTCTGGATTAGCCATTTGTTCTTGGGAGTGGCTACATTTGCGGCGTTTTGGGGAAATTGTAGTCTGTGATTTTGCGGAAGAGCTATGGAATCAACATGTTCAAATGACACACTTGTGGAGCCACTGTCCCAAGCAAATAAAACCAAATACTAATAACCCTAATACTTCCTGTTGTCTTCTTTGTCATTTCCGCCAGCAGTAATGTCCGGCTGTTGATCACGTGGCTCAATTAGGAAATACATTTATTTCTATTCAGCTGAAAAACCACCTCATCCTAGAGCAAAAATTTTTTTAATCAAAGAAAAACAATAGTTTTTCTAAATTGGCTTGTTTCCATCAAGCTAATTTATTTTTAGTACTTTCAATTTGCACGAATCTATGGTTCATGGAAACTGCTTTTGAATTGAAAAATTCTCCACTTATGAGTGCTAGCCAATACGAAGCATCTTATGATTTTTGTATCCAATTCTACCCAGATAAACCACCCTGAGCCCCGTCTCTTTCAGCCTTCATGGTCTCAGGTCAAGTCACCTCACACCTTTCTCGTTAAACACTTTACAACAACTGACGTCCTGACTCTAAACCCATCATAAATCTACTGTCAGGAATTCATCTATACAGATCCTTCTGGATCTAAAACAGACCTTTATTTCTCCAAGTGCTCCAGTTTTTCAGACTGGTAGAAGCCAGGTGCTTAGGAGGAGATCGCAGCTGTATCTCTGGAATCAGTCACCAGGGAATCCCTCCAGCCTCCTGGTTTCCGTCCTCCACGGGTAGCAAGGTGTTTGCAGTGAGCGTGTGTGTAAAATTACTGAAGCATTTTAATTCAATGCAGCAGCAGGAGCAGCAGCAGCAGCAGCAGCAGCAGTAGAAAGGTAATAAAATGGAAAATAAACTCAAGATATGTAAACAGGAAAGGGGGGCGGGAAATGCTTCTTAAAATCCAATCTGGAAAAAAGAAAGAAAAAAAAAAAAGGGGGGGAGGGGGGGACATGGCTGCAAAATACATCTGGGTTGTTTCACGAGAAAACCTCCCTAATTAGGCATGTGAATCATATTTTCCATCCTCAAAATATCCTGAACTGAACTCTTTTTGGTCACTGAAGACTGCCACGCACAAAAACTGTGCTTTTTAGAAAGCAATTTTACCTCTGGCTGTCGAAAACTGTAAGTTCATTGTGAGGTTAAATATATCACCAGTCAGCTGTCGGGCCCTCTGAAGCAATGAGTCAGAGCATGTGTCTGAAATATTTATCTGCAATATAATGATATTTTATTCATTTCGACCAGATGGAGCACCTGGTCCACTTCTTGATCATTTTCCAGGCTAATCAAAGAAAACAGGACGAATTAGATTTTGTTTGAGCGAGCGTTGCTATAACAACCAACGTTGCCAGGTTGTCACCAGGCTCACAACCTGGATGAAGTGTTGTTAGGAGATGAAGCTGATGAGTCAAAGACGCCTCACCCCCTTACAAGGTCTAATTGTTCAAAGAGTCAAGAATGTCTGGTTTTAGTCTTTGTGGACCTACTTTACTCAACTGACACCTTTCAAGTGTCAATCCTCAAAATACGAGTGTGTGTCCATTTATTTGTCCTCTAAAATTGGTCCGGGACAAAGCTGGACAAAGCTACCGTTCTGCATTCGGCGCCCCATTGTTTCGTGCTTCGCCACCTCCTGTAATCTCAGTTGAAAGCCAGCACAAAGGTGAAGGATATTGTGGTTGCGCATTCGCATGTGTCTGCATCTGTTTGTGCACACTGCGCGTGGGTGGAGGTTGGTTGCAGGAGGAGGTGTTGTCGGGAACAGAAGCATTTTGCAGATGTTGCAGGGAAGACGGAGCGAATGGAAAGTCCTGTGGTTGTCGGTCGTACGCCGCGCTCCGACCGTCCGACCGCAGCATTTCTGATGCTCTAGGTTTGATCGGGAAAGCATTGAACAACCGTTGCTCGGGCGAATTGACTTAGAGTTACAAATGGAGAGGAGGGGGTGGGGATATGAACAGGGAGGTAGAGAGATGAAGAGTTTGAAAAACATGTTTACGACTGGAGCTTCGCTTTGACGTTGTAGTCTAAGGTTTCCCTCTTGGAGAGTCTCCCAGAGCGTAGGCGGTCGAGATTCCCTCTTGGTTCCTCTAGACGTAACATGAGGAATGCTCATCTCTGTCTGCCTCTCTCCCTTGTTATGACCTTCCCTGTGTCTGTGCTCTCTCTAATTGCTCTGCTCTGCTCATTTCGGCTTCTTGGCGTTATATATGTGTGCCTCTCTTTCACCTGCCATATGAGCCGTGTCTTTCGTTCACACCACAGTTGTCCGACAGGCAAAACCCCGCCGCTATTCCCCGTCGTCTTCATCAGAGAGAGGCACACTTTTCCATATGCAGATCTAGTTTCACCAAGTTCCGCAATAGGAAGTTCTTATCTAATCTGTGCACTGTCTGTTTTTGTCGTCTGCCGTGTTTAATATGGCCGCTTTGGAAAGATCTATCAACTGATTTTCTCTCTCAGAACAATAAAGCTGACCACCCGCCCCCACTACCACATCTCGACAATAACGGTCCAAGTTTGACTGCAGTCCCTTTGCTTTTACACTCATGGTTTAATGTGAAAAACATAGTCCTCTTAAAAAAAAATACTTTTTTTAGATTATGTTGAATCTGCTGGATCTTTGATTGCAGTACTTTGGAAACTGACACTGATCCTCTTGTCTTTATGATCCTAATGCGAAGTGCAGCATTTCCTACCATGGCTCTGTTCATTCTGTCACTAACACATAGCAGCCGCGCTGCAGTAACCATGCTGTTACCTCACATGGTGTGTCACTGACACAAAGGCCGGACTGTGTCACTGCCACTTCTTGACAGATGACTCATGGGTTCTGGACATAAAAAAAAAGAAATTGCACCGCGGACCGTCGCTGATTGCCCCAGCAGAGCCCAGATCGTCTGCTCACACAATGCGAGCCATGAAATCACAAGGAAAACTCCAAGAATGTGAGTGGAGCCTTTACAGGCCTGCAGCAGCTGCAGTAGCTCACAGGGACGTTTTAGTTCAAAGCAGCGAGGGAAACCTCTTTACATCAACAGGATGGAAATGAGGGTGGGGGGAAAAGGGAAGAGGGAGAAAGGACTTCTGGCTTTTTGCGGGAAAGTAAAACGGCAAACAGAAACTGTCATGATCTAAACTGACACGAAACACCAAATCTGAGAGCATGCATTAGGGACACAGACTTGCAGAAGCAAGTTATTGTTGGTTTAATTTCTTACTTAATAGAAGCCAGTTCTGGTTGTCTCACACCCAACAGAGTTGACACCTCAACATGCTGTCAGTTCGTATTCTTAAGTACTTCCTGTGCTGACTGTGGCTTCTGGATCTAATAGGGTCTCCAATGGAATATTTAGTCTCAGGAGAGGGGTCAGGCAAGAAGCAGTGTGAAAACTTTAAGGATTTGACAACCACAGAAAATGGCAAACTTTGCCAGGATTATGTAGGCCAGAGTTTATTCCTGAAGGCAGGTCTAGTGTGCGTTACTTGCCAACAAAGGGCTATCTATCCTCACTGGATATATAGATATCCCAAGACATTGATCATCCCAATGTCCAAGACAAGCTGGAGAATGCTGCTGTGGAGACAGATCTCTGGGTCAAGCAAAAACTGTAATGGTCAGGATGAACGAATGAATGGATGAGATCTTACTTCTGGAGACTTAACTGGATGGGCGGACAGACAACTCTCCCTATGACAGATTCCTTTACTGATTTGCAACTTTGTTGATTTTGGCTTAAACGTATCCATAACTCTAGGGTTAACCCGACAAAATATAGTCCTAGGAGAGCAAAGTCCTTCTTTTCTACTCTTAGGGTTAAGACTAGAGGCAAATCCACATCTTAAGCCACGAGCTAAAACTTATGTTATGTCCAAGACAGTCATTTTCTTGTGGAACAATCTTCTGCACATTTAGGGGTTAGGGTCAGAGGTTAGGGAGTAGGGTAAGGGTCAGCCACCCACAAGTTATTGTCTATTGGATTGTACAATATAGAAGTTTTTGATGTCTTCATGTTGTTCTTATTGTGTCAACAGACGGCCATCATCTGTGGGAGACAGAAGCCAAGGTTGACAAGGACTCTGTCAAAACTGTAAGTACCCATCTGTCTCTTCAGTCTTTCTCCCCCTTCAGGCTTTCTCCTTTCTTCGGTCTCCTCCTCATTTGCCCCACATGATGATGTAACCTTCTCTAAGGCATTACAAATTGAAAAACAGAGGCGACGCTGATTAGTCGATGCAATCCTGAATGGAATTTTCACAAAATCACCGTACCGTCCTGGAGACAAACACTTTCGCCTGTGGTGTTGCTTGAAAACACAACACGGGCAGCAACATGCTCAAATGCGCACACACACACACACACACACACACACACACACACACACGCACACACCCACACACATCACTTCAGCCCTCTGCGCATAGCCAGACGTTTAGTTCACAGCAAAGGGTTGTGGTGAACTGGGCTTAAACACCTCATCTGTGCTTGTGAGCGTGCAGCCAGGAGCGGATCACACCCCTGTTTTTACCTGCTGCTTTTCACGAAGGCTATAATGAGAAAATAAACCAGCGCTCTCATTTTCACTGACGCACAGTCACACGTCCAGATTTTGTTAATATAAAGCTCACCAAAAGGGAATTGTTGACGGAGGGGAATGAAGTAAATGTTGTTCTCCGTGTCACAGAGAGCTTCTTGTGCTCTGGAGTTCATTAAGATTTCATCGGGTTAGTTAGGTCTGCTTCCAGAGGGGCGAGCCAAGTGGTGGGTAGTGGAAAACTTGTTTGCTCGGGCGTGGTGATAGTATGTTTTTAGCTGCTCATGCCTTTGATCTGGGGCGCTGCATCCTCCGCCTGTCTTTGTAAACCGACTGAGGGAGTTTATGCTTGCAAAAGGCTCTAGAATAACACACTTGCCTCTAAATGGTGCCGCTGGAGGATTTAGTTTCACTTGTTGCTGCTGCGATTTCACTCAGGTAAATGATGTGGTTGCATCAGTAGGGTAAATACGGACTCCTGTAGCTAATTGTGTCTTAACTCCGGCTGGTCTTTGTCGGCCAGAGTCGCAGATGCTGGAAAAAAGGTGGGTGCTCAAGGACATGCTGGAGGTGATGCTGTAAGAAGATGGGATTGATAAAAGCATGTACCAATGTGTTTTTAATTGCAGACTGCCTTGCTAAAGTATTCCTACCAATTCCACTAATCCAGTATTGTTGATTAGGTTATTACGATTGGATAACATTATGCATTTTACTGAAAGTTGATAAACAGTTTCAATATTTTTCCCAAATATAAACACCAACAATTACTGAGGCACTACTTCGAAGAACAATATTTCCTTGTTGTTACATGCAAGTTCTCGCTGGCATTAAAATTTTTTCCCCATTTTTCTTGGCAAAATGGCTCAAGTTCTTTCAGCAAGGATGGAGAGGGTTGATGAAAACAAACTTAAGTGTTTTCACAAATACTCAATTGGACTTTAGATCAAGGCTTTGTGTGCGTGTGTGTGCGTGCATATGCGTGTGTGAGTTGGTGTTTTACCACACTTAGCTTTTTACAACTTCTGTAATATTGCTTATTGAGGGGTATTAGATTGAATGCACATGTGACCATACAAATGATATATAAACAAAAATAAAAAACTAAAACAGTACATATTCACTTAATTGTGTGCTTAATTGTGTTGGCCTATCAAGTACAATCCCAAAAAAAAACATTACAATAGGCCTTCGCAGCGCTTAGCTGCTCGGGCCTAATAAAGTTATTTACCAAAAGTTAAAAAGGTTAGAGGATTATGTAAACCTTTGCAAGGTGCCATCGTCTTTACAAACAGAGAGATGAGATGAGAGCTCAGGCCTTCTGCTTATATGTGTTGCAACCAGACTACTTTTAAGTGCTCTAGTCTGCCTGGCTGACTGTGTTTTTATTGCTGTCCAGAGCGTGCTAACTGGTTGTTTGTGATCGAGAGGGAACGCAGTGTGCATGCACGCATCTAACACACACAATCAGCAACCTGCATACCTTCTCTGTCATCATATGGAAGACTGGGTCTGATCTCACCTTCAGCTACCCCGTCTTCACCCCCCATCCTCCCTGCATGCACTGTGATGACCGACAAAAACCTGCTTCCTGTCATTTTTGCCCTGCTTTCGGCTGTAAAAAAAGAACAAGAGAGCGATGGCTATCCCAGGAATTACACATAAACACCCTGACAGATTCCTCCATGTTTCCCTGTCAGAATTAAAGCAGTCAAAAGTTCATATCCGTCCAGACCTGATGAAAGTCCAGCAGGCTAGGTAACTGGAGGGGTTACAGGTGACCCCTCCTGCACATGGAGCAGCTGTGCAAACAAATAAGCTGACATTTCTGCTTTGCTGTGCCATGTGGTGGGGGGGGGAAGCTAAAAGCCCAAGGGTTTTCCTCAGAGAAAAACATGGGCCCTGGACGAGCCTCAGGGGCCCAACTACAGCTTCTGCACAGTCCAGACCAGCTCATTTAGACCAGCTCCCAGTCCAGTCTCTTGGAAACACTACCCTAAATGCAGACCAGCAATAAAACATAAACATACCTGTTGATTAATCTCTGAAACATTCAAGGGTTTACTGTATAGTACTGAAAGCTAATGCTTCATGACCACATTAAAACAAACATCTATAAAGTCTTGCTTGTATGGTTCTATATATATATATATATATATATATATATATATATATTAAAAACATTGTTTCATGTGGACCTGAATTTGAAATGTGAACATCAAGTCCTGTCATGCCTCTGAAGAATTTGTGTCATTTCTGATTTACTCCAGTTTTGGATAGCTCATTTATTGGCATCAAAAATCTGGAATCCCCACTATTCATTTGTGTCAGGACAGGAAACGTTCCTTTTGCGGTTATGTCATTTTCTTTTTTTTTTCTTTTTTTTTCATTTTAAAGGAATAATGGAATAACACTTAAATTGTTGCCAGATATGTATTAGCTGAAATATTAAGTAAGTCATACTATTAGTTTTCCTTTCAGTTTCAACCATATAGCATCCTGAGGTGAGTCAAGCATTAGGATAATTTAGCTTGAAACAAAAATAAACATCATTTTGGATTTTTGCAGCAAAAGTTGAGTCACGTTTCCATTGATTCTGTTGCAATGGTGCACATGTACAGTATAAAGTTTTAGGATTACCAAGAAATACTATCATGTCTTCCTATACCAGTGAACTGAAAGGCAGATGTGCGACAGTGTGACAACGGTGTACATGCGGTACGTTTGAGTGACCTTGCTGTGTTTTGTTTGCACTTTAGAACACTCTCGTTGTGGAGATCCCACCCTACAGGAACCAGAGAATATCCAGTCCTGTGCAAGTCAACTTTTACGTCTGCAACGGCAAGAGGAAGAGGAGCCAGTACCAGCGCTTCACCTACGTGCCTGCAAACGGTAATCCTCAGCCTGATCTTCTTTAAGAAACGCAGGCATGCTTCTTGACACCTGTAATCTGTAGTTTGCCTTCAACTGTCGACATGCCACAAGGGATTTGTGGCCCGCTCTTGTCGGGTGTTTTTGACATCCTGCCTGGGAACAGTTAGCTTGAGCCATTGAAAGAGAGCAGAAGATGAGACGGGGTGTTTATGCAGTAATGGTGCGGCGTTCCGCAGCTGTGAGGTAGACCCACTGAGTGACAGAACCTCCAAGTGCTGTCAGTAATCGAGTGTGTAGTTGACTCAACCTCCTGGGGACCTGCCTTTTACACCCTGCCTGACACAATGAACCCATGGTTCCCCAACAAAGGAATGACGATGCACATGAAAACACACACGCACACACACAAGCTGTCATTCATGTAGCAACCTGAAAGGGTTGTGATATAGTGTGAAATAGGCATCACCAGCTTTCATGATGGAATTCTCAGAATGACACAACTAAGCTTTAGTCAAGAAAACGGGTTTAAAGAAATTAGCTTCAGGCTCCGGGTTTTTACTAGAAATCTTCTCCTTGCGTATATGCAGACAAGCGTGATGATGGCTGTGTTAGACCTGCATCCACATCGTGATTACCAGAGGAATCCATTAGATCCCCAACCCTGATATCTTATTTTCATTGATTGGCGCTTAATGGATCCAGAGCCTCTGAGATAGTGTGCAGCTTGTTTTAGGTCCAGAGCTGTTAATAAGATGTAACATTTACATTATCAGCGATATTTGATGGGCACAGGAGACAAGCACACGAGAATAGAGCCCTCAAAAGATGTAGAACATGTTCCAGTTTGGAGATCACAAACAGATTGATAAAGGTAAATAGCTCAAACTTTAGACAGTTTTCAAATTTCTCAACCAATAAACATCACAATGGTGTGGTGTGTATTTATATTTGGCACTGTCTATTGGGGTGAGCATTTATATCATCTTTCTATCATTTATCGTGATCATTTTCTTATAACAATTTTGATTTATTGTTGTCATGATAAATTCCAGTTAATATGTTTAAGCCAGGACTGTTCATATTGTCAGGATTGTTATTTTTGCTGTTTTCTCCACAATAATTATTGATAAATATCAATAATTATCAATATGATTAAATGCACTTACTATGTGCAGCTTAATTATACAAATCACACTTCTTTATGTGACTGCTGTCCCAAAAAAAGCATAATATAAAGAGCCATAATTGATTCCATTAAATTTCATTTAGGAGTATCAGAGTAATAGGGGTTTAAAATGAAGATTTTTTTTTTTTTTTTTTTACTTTTGTAAACGATGTATGCTTTTCCTTCCATAACTACACGCTGCTTTGTGCAGTCACGGTACACAAAATGTAACTCAAGTACACAAAACTTGTCGCAAATGCCAGCGATTCTACAGAGGCTAGTCCTGGTATCGACGAGCGGCCTTCACAGAGGGCCCTGGCAGACACAAAGAGAAAGTTGCGAGGCTCCTTCACTGATCCATTTCTTTGGGCACAAACACAACTCTTATTAAAAGATGACTCGTGTTCGCCTTTTTGCTGCCAAGTAAACCACAAACACACTGTGGACCACACAAGCAGAGCAAGTCGCTTCTCAAAGATGCATAATTAAGCCACAGGAGTCAGAGCCAAAGAAACAATGAACCTCAAATTCTATTTAGAGTTTTGCCACTGCTTTGTAGTCCTACTTGATAATGTAAAAAAATAAATAAATAAAACAAAAAAAAGACCCTGCCTATTCTTAAAAAAAAAAAAAGTATGAAGCCCAATAGCACTCAATAGCTGATTTGATATTGCCTTGCTGCTGAAACTGAAATATTTTTGAGATCACTCAACTACAGACTCCCCCTCAGACAAACACTTAAACACTTGATGTGCAAATTAAAGTATTGCTGCATAAAGGTTATAATCAGCTTAAAGAGACCCTTTGTAGTCGTGATGACTGTAAGAGTTTCAATACAGCTACACTGAAAGAGGAAATCCGAGTGAAGCTCTTTGCTTTTGAGGGTTTCAGTATGTGCTTGTGTGTCAACAGTGAGTAAAACGAGCGACGTTGCGGCCAGGTACTCGGGGTGGGCTGGAGAAGGGAAGACACCCACACATTCACACAATCGCACACACAAACATTTGTCAACACTTTTCGCTCGCTCGTATGAAAAGAGTCTTCCGGCCCATGGTCCCACTTCAAGCACAGTTGTGGTCAGTGACGTTGTTGGGAGAGAACATTTCTTTCACACTCTGGTGTCTGTTCTGCTATAAAAAGGCAAGCCCAAGCCTTAAAATAGACACACTTGTTTGAAACAGCGGAAGGATGGAGCCAACACTCTCGGGGCCACAGATGCTGAAAACCACCTTTATTTTCCATCCAGGTCATGTGACCACTTGTTATTCTTTGACGCTAATGAAAACGCTATCAGCAGCCACTGCTTTCAAACAGCTTAACGCACTGAGAAAACACTGGAAAAAAGAAATAGATGGTTTAGCGTGTCTGCTGACACATGGTGCTTCAGTAGAGCACATTGCTGAAGACATGTCAGCAGATTTTATCAGCCTCACACTGCTTGTTGCTGCGTGTATAGTGAAGTGGTAGTATTAGGAGTGCATCATAAAAACAGTCCTTTCCCGGTTGTAGTCTCACAGAAATAGAAAACCTTACACTCCCATTGCAGTATTATGCATCTACCCTGCATTTCAATTCTGCAGAAAGAGTTTATGCTCTAGGTACAGTAAAAAAATGGTGTTGCATCATTATCCTCCTGCACATGTGAACAGAACAGAATAGAAACTTTTATTGTCATTGTAACAATGGAACATAGTAGAACGGAATTTTGATGCAATTCTCCAGATAAAAACAATGTCTCTCTTTAAAAAAACAAAACAAAACTATAAATAATTACTTATCTCTTGATTAAACAGTTGACTGAAAATTAAAACGGGCATAAAAACTACACTGATACTGGAGCAAATTCTACCTAACGTGACCAATGTGACAATAAAATGCTGCACAGTGGGTATTCTGCTACGATCTATATCACACATTTGCTCCACTGCTATAGAACTGCCACAAGCGCTATTCAAATGTTGCCATAATTACCTAATAATATCATGCTTACCTCACGCTATACCATGCAGGTGCTCAGCCAGTGCCCATGAAGATTCACTCACTTCAGAATATCATTATGCATAAGCAGACAACGCCCCACCTACTTTGTGATCAAATCAGTTATTATTTGACAATGTAGTGTCCCTTATAGACTGTGTATAGAAATATTGATCTTTTATTTTCAGATTTATAAGTATGGTTAAAAACTAGAAGGTGATGTCACAGATATGTTGAAAAGGCAGATATGATGTTCTGGCTCAGTAGGTCCCAATAGATACATACACTATTCAAAACAGTGTTGCATCAAAAGTGTCAGACATGCATATTTCTAAGCATTTAGCTTTTTTATATATTCCAATGTACATAGCAAGATGGAAAACAAAATAACAGAAACTTTTTTGTTGTATATTAACAGACAAATGCATGTGACAGTAAAAATGTGCCTTTCTTTTGGATAACTGGAATCTTTCACCGATTCAAAAATACATTTTCAGTTTTTACATGCCATCAGCTGCATTTGGAGTCAAGCCTGAGTGTTTGTCCATGATGGTAGGAGGTCCATGCAACTGTCCTTGTCTGGCTTCTGCAGTGAGACTGGCTTTTCCAAGCACCCTTCCAATCATTGCTACATGAGCAGCGATGTGACGTGGTGCTCTTCAAATAAGAAACAGTTTTCACCAACCACATTAAACAACAAATGCCAGAAACATGCTGGCAACAACCATTGCTTGGACAAAGAGCTTCTTGGAACCCCTTTATTTTTACAGGCCATTTGGAGATTCCTCTAAAATATCAAGTTCTATTCTTAACGTTGCTCCCCACCCCATCTCTTTGTGGCTGGAGTTTGGGAGAAGACTACCACAGCAGTGTTCTGTTACATACATACACACACACGGGAAGAGTTCCTGAACCAGACTTTGTTCTTTTTTATAAGTATTTGTCGAGTTATGGTTTTCCAAAATGTGCACAAGGACATGGCTGTTTCAGCCATTTCTCCTGTGCTAGGTTTCATCAAACCCCCATACCTTATTCTAACAACCAGAGTATGTTGGGTAACCAGATTGCGTCTCACCAGGACACGGTTCACCAGGTACCTTTGAGTTAAACTACCACCTGTTCCACTACTAATATTATTGCAGATCTTTTCCCCAAAATAAATAATTTTTGCTGCATAGTAGCACTGGAACTGAAATTGCAATAGTTTTAAAAGACTAATAAAGAATCAAATATCTAGATATTTGCTTACCTTATGCCATTTTTTTGTCTTCAAATTAACAAGAGCTCTGTAAAGCTACAAGTGCACACCTAATGGGCTTAATCCAAGCAGACAGCGGGGTTAACTACCAGGAAAGAAGAGAAATTTGCAGAGCACGTCTTCAAGCCGTAACCAACTGGTTTGGAGGAACTACGCTCGCTGCCAAAAAAACGTTCTGCACCCAAATTGAGTGTTGCACATAAAATGAAACAGCAGGTGTTGAAAAGTCAAATATTTGTGTTGATACCAAATATGAAGTTTGGAAGTACCAGTTGTCTGGGATAGCATATCCCTCCAGGCCTTCTGAAAAGTCTAAAAGGCACTTGATATGAATTGAAGTCATAGGTAGTCCAACATGTTAGATTGGAGAAATTAATTAGAAGCCGGTTTGCAATGGAAGGATTTCAAGATGACACTTGTAGTACATAAGAACATGAGTTAGCTTTATCTTGTTGAAAAAATACTCTTTACCACTTAGGCTGGTTAAAGCATGTGGTCACAGGTTGTCACTAATGAAGCCCTAATATGTCTACAAGAGGTGAGCTAAAATCAGGAACAATGGCTTTCCACACCTTGGAAGCAGAATCTTTGTTTCTCTGTACAACCTGGGGAGAATACATAAGTACATGCACTAAATTTCATTTGTGGCTTGGATTTAGCCATTCCAACAGTGATTGGCTAAATTAACTAGTGGAGATTTCCACCAATTAAACTTCCAAAACTCGTGGTTACGGGACCATTCTGAATGCAGCCACTCTAGTGGTAGTGACTGGTTGCTGAACCCGTTGTCTTATGATTCCAGACATTATGTGAGACTTCACAGGCAGTTTTAAGGGTTTCAGTACTTGGGTTGGTATAGAAGATGCTGATATTATGTGGTTATTCAGTGCCTGACAACCAAGTCAACCTCGCTCAGTTAGTGCGGTCTTTCTTAGGTGACCAGAACCTTCGCAACAGGTGATCGCCCAGTGGTTCCAACATCCTGCCACTGTTGAATCTCATGCCTCTACATTTTGACTTCAAGCAAACCAAAATGCAACTTCTACCCAACTTCTAAGAATGCCATCTCCAAACTCCATCCACTGCCTTATAATACTCCACTTGTGATGCCAGTACTTATGTCAGCTAAAGCCTGTCTAAATGCACTTTCTAGATGTCCCGCTTTATAATTTGAATAATATGCAGACCGATTGATGGTCTGGATGTGTACCAAATTAAATCCAACCTGAACCATGTCGTCTGGGTGCCTGACTGTTTTTGTTGATGAGCGCAGTGGCCAGCTGTCTGGTGAAATGGTTTATTTTTTTCTCAGTGGAAAGGAAATGCAGAGATAATTTAGAGGGAATCAAATTTTATTTGTGTCTGCTGCAATAGAAGAAAAAAAAACAGTCTATATTAAATAAACTTTTTATTCGTGAAGTTAGTTTTCTCTCATAAATTCTCCTTAACTGGAAGGGCTGAATGTCCTGCATTTCAATGTTGGAACCTCAGGACTTTGTTGTTGATTTGAAAAATCGATTGTTTTTGTTCCTACTTAGCCAAATGGAAACGGCTGTTTTCAGGCTCTGTCAAACTTTAACATCACAACTCGTACTTAACAGGACTTTAAGTAGTCATGAGATCAAATCCGCATTAATAACCAATGGTCTGATTTGGTGAAGCTAAATTTAAAAAAAGGCATTTTATGGTTTCCACTTGACATCATTGACATGGTTTTATGGCAATCTGGTATCCATTTAAACTAAGAAATGGCAGAGAAGTGGAAGGCTTGGATGTAGTGTGACCATGTGACTTATTTGTTACTCCCCAGGCTGTGGAGAGGAGGCGTGTGCATCACGGGACGTGCCTTACGACGCTCCCCAACACACCACAGCCTGGTCCCTTGGCTTTTAAAACTTAGAGAGCTGACGTAAATGTGTTCCCTTCTGCATTATCGCTCATCACCCCAGAGGCTAGATGCGCGATTAGTGTCTTTTCAAATCCAGTCGAAAAAACCCCCATAAAACATAACATGTGACACACCAACATTTCATTTGCACCTTTACTTGCTACTATCACTCATATGCTCTGCTGTTTACAATTTCATGCACTGAAAACAGACAGTCTATTCATAGTGAAAACTCCATGCCTTTGAGTAAATGTCACTTGGAGCGAGCATAGCCAGAAACTTTTAACGGCTGGCACCACACCCATTAATAAGATTCAACAATGTGCAGGAATAGAAACAGAATGTCCATTGTGACTCCAAAGACTTTGTTATACTTTAGGGTATCTTAACACCAGCCAGTTAGTTTTGTCTTGGCACACTCTGTGATTACGTACTTATATAATAACTCAGCAAAACGCCCATTAATGCAGACATCGTGCCATCTTTTTTTTTGTTCCGTTTTAGACAACAAAACCGTAACAGCACAGTGGAAGCACCTGATACCTGTCACTCAAGAAGCGCTCTCAGGAAGTAATGCAGACAGGCTGCATTGGATAAGAAATTTGAAGAGAGAAGGCAGGATGATCAAGTGGGGTCACAGCACTCTCCTGCATTAGCTGAGGTCTGAAGCTCTCGAAACCACAGGCTCAGCTCTGCAACCTCTTATGCCGCTCAGGCAGTCTAATCAAAATCAAATCAACTTCATTTTTTTTTCGCTCCCCGTCTATCTTTTTGGTCCTGAGAGAATCAATTACTGCTAGAGTGTGTGGAGAAAACTGGGGGTCCTGGGCTCCTAGAGCAGCGGCAGCAGCAGCAGCAGCAGCAGTCCAGTGCTTTAAAGGACTTTTATTGGATATCAGAGTTGGAGGAGATTCCAAAGAAAATAGGTCTTACTCATTATTAGAGCCAGCTGTGGCTTTCCACACTGATGACTCATCCATTTTTCTTTCCCCCTGTTTTGCTACTTTTTCATGGTGTGGTAAGGATAGTGGTGGTGATGTGGGGGGAGAGGGAGAGTGGGTGCGATGGGTGAGGGGTTTCTCCATTAAAAGATACAGCCAAGTTCATACTGAGCCTAAATCCACTGGTTGTTTGGTATTAGGGAGGATATTGTGGCCAAAACAGTATTTGCTCACAGTTATTATCCATGGATTCACTGCGCCACGTGGCTTCTTTTCACGTTGACTTTTTAGTTCTTTTTATTTTTTTAACATCTCCACTTTCTCTCTGCTCTTTCTTTCCAGTACCAATAATAAAAACCGAGCCCACTGATGAGTATGATTCTCTTGGGAGTGTTGGGCTGTCTATGCATTCAAAGCCCTACTACGGCCAGCCCAGGCTGACGTCCATCATGCCTGTTGCTGAACCTGACCCCTGCCTGGTTGGTGGCTACCCTCCTTGCCCGCCCCGCCACGCTGCCATGCCACCGTCGTCTCCCAGCTCAAGCCCTACCCTGCACGATCTGTCCCCTGTTGCATACAACAAATGCCTCCCCAACAGCCCAACTCATGCCGCACCACCAGGCACCGTAGCGCCCCCCATTCAGGAGACCCCTTGCTGTCCAAGCCTTCCGCACCCGACGTCGCCAGATCACAACTCTTCCCTAGCGGTGCTCCACTCCCAGGGCAGCCCGGGCTCCCTTGGTTATCACCATTCCGTCTATGCCAACAGCAGTTCCTCGTCCTCCCCAGTGTCTCACCCTTCCACTCCTGGCGGTCCAGCGGAGACACCGTTTTTTCAAGCGTACAGCCCCAGCCAGGCAGAGGCTTCAGGCAGCTCAGCCCAGGCTGCAGGAAGTCCGCCCAGCCTGCTAGCTGAAGACGCCACTCCGCCATCAATGGACATTACCATCAAGCAAGAGCCCCAGGAACTGGATCAGATGTATCTCGATGATGGTGAGTTACTGCAAAGTTACCCATTCTGACAAACTGAAACTGTTAGTAACATAATCAATGAAATAGGTGAATCTCTGGGGTAAGTGTCTGGCTCAAATGAAGGAGTTCAAGCATCTTGGAATCTTTTGCACAAGTGGTGGTGGGACGGAATGTGGCAAATATGTCCCTCATGCATATGCCATAATGTGGGTTCGGTATTGGTATGCTTGGGTTTGGTATGTTTTGGCAAAACTCTCGATTTACCAGTCTGTCCATGTTCTGATGCTCACCTGTGGTTGTGAGATATGGATCATGACAAGAAGAATGAGATTCTGCTTACAAGCACCCAAAACAAGCATCCTCTGCAGGGTGGCTGGACTCGGCCTTAGAGACGGGGTGAGAAACTCCATCATCCAGGTATATCTCAGAGTAGGCAGCTGAGATGGTTCAGACACCTGATCAAGATGTCTCATGGATGACTTTACTTGAGACGCATCACAGTGGGTGGAGACCCCAGGTCAGACTCGGAACATTTTTTTCCAGACTGCCCCAGGGCAACTATAGCTATTATCCAATAGCTTACCACCATCAGTGTGTGAATGAGTGAATGATTGAATGTAGTGTGAAGCTCTTTGGTGTCCTCCAGGCCTGATAAAGTGCTATACAAGCACCATTTACCATTTGGGGGATAATATTTACCCTCTGACATGCGAGTTCAAGGAATCCCATGAAAATATTCTCTGGGTTTCCCCCCGGGAGCTCCTGCCTTTTGAGCTTATGTTGAATAAGTTGAAGACATTGGATGGATAGATGCATGTATTTAATGTTTTTTCCAATAAAACCTTATCTTAATGAGGCTAATAATCCTGCCGTACACGACTGCTTATCTGCAGCTCTTCACACATAGCCACACCCTGCTGCACCTCTTAGTATTTCCTGATGAAACGCTGGCGGCAGATTTGCGTCACGTTTGTTTAATTTTAGACCCCGCAGATTTATTTGCTTTTGGTGGAACGTTCGGCCCCAGCATCGTATCGGCTGCTTTGCTTCAAAACGCTAAACTGCCTTGATGGGATTTTGAAACAATCTGTCAAAACATCAGAGCACCAAGGTCAGCCGGGGTGCAGCAGAACAAAAACAGTGGCACACGCATAACGAGCCAAACTGTTGACACGACGACTAATGAAGGAAGCAAAACAATGGGTAGGGGCTTCCTGAACCAAATCGCTAGCCTTTCCCTAAAGTCCCCCCTCTTCATATTTCTGGGAGCTATGCCGAGGGGCGGAAGACAGAGGCTTTGTTTTCCCGTCTTTTTCCCCATGGAGTCGACACAGTGTGACTGTCGTCATCAAGGGAGACTGTGGGGTCACTACTCTCCCTCTGGCAGAGAAACCAGTCACACCCATGGGACCACGTGGCTGGCTTTATTGCCTCCTGTGTCCATTTCACGTTAGGTCTCTCAGGTCAGCAACCTGTTATCTATGCTAACAGAAGCAGCACTTGTTGTTTTGATATACATTCATATATCTCAACACTGGCATTCTGCCAGCCTAAGATAGTAAAATCTGTCTGTAACCTTGTGGAGGTTGGGCAAAGACTCCTCCTCATTAAACTCAGGAATACCGCTTTTCCTGCACACATTTTGTTAAGCGAGCTGCTCTTGCCTGCGATGTGTATATAGTTGTTTGTGCACGCTTGTCCACTTTATCTGCTCCCCACTCAACAGCTCTGGGACCGAAGGGGTGATAGGCATGAGGGGACCAGGGGAGTGTTGCTGTAGGACTGTAATTGAGATGAAATTCAGCTCTCAGCACTTCTGTCGGCACTGATGAGTCCCGTTAGTCCACAGTTCATCAACAAACTATACGGAGACCAGTCTGTTGTCTCATGCTAAACTTTTTCCTCCTTCCCCCTGTGCCTTGTTTTATTTGTGTCCCTCATTCGGATGAGTTCTTAGTAACACTAAAGTGTAACCTTCAGTTTAAATTTGTCCTCTATGTGTTTATAGTGTACATACATCTTAATTACAACATTACTGCATATTGATAAAATGAAGCTACTTTGTTTTGCAATAATTCTGCTAGTTAGAGGCTTGCATTCCCTCTTACAAATTTTTATTTTTTTGTCGCACCTAAATGTTTTAGATTATCAATTACATTTGATATCAGGCAGAGACAACCTGGGTAAACACAAAATGTAATTTTCATATAATAATTTCACTTGTCAATGTAAAAAACGCTGTTCAGACTAAATTGGCATCATGTAAAACAGTAATTGTCTGAAATATACAAACTAATTTTGTTACCTTTGACAGTAACTGGATCTCCACAGCTACTGAATTTTCAAACAAACTCTTGATGGCACTCATGTCATAGTATCTCAGTTGGATCTGAGCTTTCGCTATGCCACTCCAAAACTTTTTTTTTTAGTGGTGTACTTTGAATCTGTAATACATGTCATTTTTGCCTAGTCTCATTGCTCTTGTACAATTATGAACTCTGACCTTAAATGAAACCATTGGAAAACCAGCTTTTTTCAGCCCTCTGATTCACACGGACAACCTCAGAGGAAAGAAAGAAGGTTAAGATTTCCAAGTATAACCAGGAAATTGACAAAACTCAAATCTAAACAAACAGTTCAAGAAAAAAAATCATCAAAAAAAGCTTCCAAGTCTGATACCATCAAGTTAAATTTAGTTTATTTGTCTCTTTATGCAGAATAGTAAATAATTTCCCCCTGTGAATATTTTTTAAAAAGTTTTTTTTACAAAAAGACATGTGAACTGTTTTTTTTGTCTTAGCAAATCCTTGCAGATGTTTATAAAATCCTCAGTTCACTTTGACAAAAAAAATCAAATAAACCATTAAAATTCTAAGTAAATAAACCTTTATGCCAACAATGAGCATGTGGAAACATCTGACCATCACTGTGTCAGACCAGGCAAAAGGATGAACTTGAGCAAAAATTTATCAAGCAGTCCTATTTCTAGTGAAGTCATGTAATTTTATTTTCCCTCCACACAAGTTCGTGATCTATCACTTTAGCAATCCTCCTCAAAGAACGGTGGCCAGATATATTCAGCTAGTGATTACAGTTGCATTAGTGACGCGCAGGAACGTGCTTTGATTGAACAAGGACTGCGAGGCAGCTCCTTGAAAACCTCAGCGAGCTGCCTTTTCGCATCACCTAATGTCTGAGCGAGCATCTGCGGTGAGCTGCTGGAGTCCCGGTAAGTGTGCGGTGGTAACAGCATACTGCCAAGGCATCTGCTGCTCGCAAGGCCTGGACCCATCCCAAACCCCTTAAATGAGCCCTAAGCTAAAATAAATAAGATCGGAAGGCAGCTTGCAGGGCGCCCCGCTCCCTGTTCACACGCATTACGGCCCTATATTAGCGAGTCAGTGCTCCATTAGAGAAGCAAGACAGGCGGATGACCTCACCACAGTAGTGGTGATTTAACGCCAGCCGTGTGGAATAGCTCTCCTCCTTAGCAATCGGGAGGCCAGTGATTTGGAGTCTGCGGGAGCAAACTTGATCTTCCCCAAGAGTGGCGCACCACCCACGCTTGAGCACGGAGGCCTCCGGCTCCCATCATCCAGAGGAAATGTGTCTCTCTGGCCAGGTCCAGATTTTACGCAGCCCCCGAGAAATCCCTCAAGTTATCAACAGTGAGCTACTGTACCGCAAGGACCTGGGTTAGTGTGCAGGGAGGTGTAAAGCCCCCAGACTGCCATACACTCTCCCTGTCATAAACTGTTAAAGTCTTCCCTGCTCTGTGATGGAGGCAGCATAAAGCAGGAGGTGATTATTCTCGTGCAGTGGGGGGACGTAGAGGAAGATTCCTATTGGCAGTAAGCTTAAACACTTCGACTCAGTGGCATCTTGGCTCTCACCCGCCACAGTTTTACTGCTCCTAGCTGGAGATGTACCCACAGATCCGCATGGTTCAGTGGGTGGAAGCAGCAGAGGGCGAAACACCCGCTGAGCGAAGACTATGCCTGGTTGCATTGTTGACTCAACGTCGTAAACAACTCATGGTCAGGCTCACATAAAACCGATTTTTAGACGTTGCTTATTTACTCACACCCCACTATCTGTGGTTTACAAGGCACATGACTTGGAAAAAGGCAGACAAATGACATCACAGTACATGAGTATGCACTATTAACATTTGAGTTGCACTAATTAAGTCTAAAAAAAGAAAAGTTTAAGCATTTGCACATTTTCTCATGTTTCAAAGGCCTGTTCTGATGACTTCACCTTCCGCTCATGTCTAAACTGTAACACTGCTCATTCATACACACGTAACACTTTTGCAACTATATATATATATATATATATATATATATATATATATATATATATATATATATATATATATATGAGTGCAGTCTTATTTCCTTTGAAAACAATCAGTCTTTCTCTTGTAAGATGGTTTCTGTTAGCATTAGGTGTTCTGCAGTGGGCAAGTGGGTGTGGAAGGAGCAGAAACAGTGGCTACCTATTCTAGATGTTTGAGGCTTATGCCATTTGTCCTGTCTCATTAGCTGCTTTGGCAAAGGGTGATGTCATGAAAACCAGCTAAAAGAGGCAGACAGCAAAGGAACTTGGACTAATCAGGGAGCTAGATTTCTACCAGCTGCCTCTCAGAGAAACAGAGGGCCCTTATTCCCCAAAATAAGACAAACACAAAGCACAATGCAGCCTCTGCCGACTTTTTTGACATTTGACATATGTGCTGCGATTGCCCCGTGTTGTGCTGTCGTTTTCCTTGTGATTGTTTCCTGTTAAATTCAGAGGCGGTGCATTTAAACAAAAAAAAAAAGAAGAGGGGGAAAAAAACTACAGCAAGGGTTGTTTTCTCAAACTGGAAGCAATATTGTCAGTTCCTCCTTTCCTCTTTCCTCTTTCCTTCCTCCCAACAACAACAACAACAAACAAAGTAAGGATTCTGACTTTCTTGAAAGCCTCCACTCGGTTCTGACGCTTCCGAGGGCAACTCAAGGCATTCCTCATGGAAACTTTTACACACTCTGGCACGCTGCCCAGACCCCAGGACTCCGCAAAACCCCTAATGATGATTGAAAGCGCATCCACACCATCACCATGCTGAAAAACATGCTGAGTAGCTAACATTGGAGAGTGCCGCAAGGCAGGGTCGGAGAGGTGCGGGGGGCAATGGAATGAGAGGATTTTTGGGCAAAGGGTGTTCATTAGAGAAGAGCTTAAAGTGTCTAATGGGGCTTAGACAAGGAATGACTACTCCTGGATGCATAGGTGGTGTGTGTCTCTTTCGTTTTAAGATGGTATGGTCAGCTAGATGCAGAAGCACTGGAAGGGACAGTGCACTTTGAGTCCACTCAACCTCTGAACCCCTAGCCTTTAGGGAGCAGGTCAAGGTCCGACTAATAGTATAGAGAAAGGGAGGCTGTCTTGTGGTTAAGTGCAATGCCTAGAACATAGTCTCCTTCCACATGTAGACATATTGACAGGTACAAGAAAAAAACGTGATGGCTTCTTTATTATTTATGACTTCAGACAGGATGTGGATATTTTACTGTTGTTGTTATTGCTGCCTTCTCATATTAGGAATCCGCTTTCCTGGCAGCACGTCTCGCGGAGACATATAAGTAAAAGTTTGAGCTTCTTGAAGAAGTTTTATAGCCAGGGGAAGAATTAATTGGTAGGTGCACTCGCGTGTTAGCCTTTGAGAGTCATTGACTGCCAACAATATGGAAGAACAACTATACTTTGGGGATTGGCAATAGATTTGATTCAATTTCCTCTCATTGAGATTAAAAACCATTACTCCTTCTGTGTGAATTGAGCAGCTTTGGCCTCTTATTGCCCATTATCCAGTTCTACAGACTTCGCTGTGCACTTGAAGAGGTGAAGCTAGGTATTCAACATGCAGATCAATGCAGATATTGTGATGGTATTTGCGCAAAAAATGATTAGCTTATAAAATTTCAGACACCCAGCGCTTTCTTTGATCGTCCAAAACTTAATTGTTGTCAGGTACTGAGGGAGATCAAGATCATTACCTTCCTAGAGAGAGAGAAAAAAAATCTTTGTACAACTTAAAAGCTCTCAGTTGGGAAACATTCCCATAAAGCGAGTATCAGTGTGGTTTAAAACAATATTCACTTGCAATATAAAGGATAGATGATGCAGCTGAAGTACATTAATGGAACCAAGAGATTACGTGATGTCTTCACATTAGAGGAGAAATACCTTTGCTGTTTTGCGGAAGTCCTCTGAATTACCTTAGCACACTCTGTTTCCTTTTACAAATCCTCTCTCTCGGTCCCCCTGGCTGAACATGAGAGCCTCTAAGGTTCTGGTTCTGATCACAGCTTTCTGTTACATATTCGAAAATCCACGCAATTATTGACAGAGTTGCCTCAAAATGCTTGCAGTTTAGCAGATAATCAGATTTTGTAGTTAGAAACAGCACTAGCATTTGGGGGGCAAAAGGGGGTCCGTGTTTTTTAACTTTTAGAGCTTTGTAACAACCATTTGGAACTTTATTGGTTTTAAATCATTAAGCACCATGAATCTGTAAAAATTAGATTAATTCGTTTTGGCAGGTTGTTTCTTTTTTTCTTCTTCTTCATTCTTTATTCATGCATGTGTCTGCACACCGAAGGCCTTGGCGGCTCAGCCAGGAGATCTGGTCTGGTTTCAGTCGCTCCGTCATAATATCCACAGTCACTGTGAAAGAATGCGTCTGCTGAAAAGCTGCCGTGAGATTATCTAAACAAATTGGGTTTCATTTGTGTCTGGGGTCCACACACGGAGACACTTAGATGAGAGACTTTGAATTGGGTTTTAAATGGGGCTGGTATTGCCGAATAGCCACTAAAAGTATGAAGGAGAATTGCCAGTTTCAGTGATCTTACAAAGAAGATGCTTAAAAAGTACAAAAACGAACTCAAATATAAAACTCAACTGGCACATCTTTGAGACTTCATTTAAACTCTGTAACTGCTACCTCGTCATATATAATGTTTGTCTTATAGTTTCTCCTGACGCAGCCGTTTAGAGGCTCGGTTTATGTGGCTCACATTCTGAGGTTTGGGAGACACGCGTTGAAAAGCCACCAAGCCACATGGATCACAGAGGGTCAGGACTAAAACACGGCCTGCGGCTTGGCCGGGGGCTTCCTCTGTATATCTGTGATCATGGAGTTACCGCGTCATTCCAGACACTCTCATTACTGAATCACATTATGTCAAATGTCAACGGGGCGGGCTGCTCTGACAAAATGATCACTGAGCTTTCTTCCTAGCAAAAGGCAGTGAAGTAGTCTTTGCCTTTTCAGAAGAATTCACTTGAGTTTGACTTTTATCTTTCTGCTTTTAGTTTATCTTACTTTATTTTTACATCCAGGCATGTGGCTGCAAACATTGCTTTGGTAAAAGTTGGGGTTTAGCTCCTTTGAGTGCTATTAGAAAGAACAGTATTATCTTAGTTAGCCTGTGAGCAGATTAGCCTTTTTGAACTACTTAACTGCAAGCACTGGCTGCTATTGCAACCTGAAATAATGTTTCTCTATGAAGAAACTGCCACATGTATTACTTTACAAATAATTTTAAGTTGTTTTCAACCCAATTTAGTCACATACCCATAAATACAAATGTATATATTGGGGTATGTGACCCCTATATATATTTCTACAATTTCTACAGATAGCTAGCATCAGAGAGATAGATAGCCTTACATAGTCACTCAGTCTACAACATAAAATAAATCACAAGTACATCCAGACCAACTAGGCATTCCTTCAAATACACAACATATACGTTTCATTTTTAGGAGCTTAATAGCTTGCAGAACGAATCAGAATTTTTATTAAGTGGATCGGTTTTGTCAATCTTAATTTTGTTTGCCTTGTTGACCACCCACTCCATGTAAATACACTACTTGGTTTTGCAATTCATGACAATTTACTCGCTGTTGTCACCGTTTACCTGACAAAAATTTTTCTGGGCCGCAGAAGCATATCTGACCCACCAGCAGCAGATGACGCACTTTTAATAAAAGCACAATAAAACATATAAAGAATTTTGCTATCAACGTTAAATGACAACAACTTTAAAAAGTACCGATGTTTTTCAGTCTTTGTACTGAAAAGTTTGTTGTCAAAGTAAGTTGTACAGGAGGATTGGCTTTTTCTAAAATCCATGGATATTTCTTTGGCGCTTTCTCAGGTTTAACAGGAGATAATAAACCCTTGAACACACCATCCCACCTATCACATCTGGTGGGGGGTAGCATAATAGGTGAAGGTTGTCAGAGGAAATCCTGGAAAGACTGGCAAGCCCACACCTTTCAGATTTTACAATAGTAGAAATAAAAATGAAAACCACGTATCATTTTTCTTCTTTCCTACTTTGCAATGGACTATCACATAAAATCCCACGAAAATATATTAAAGTGGTGGTTGTACTGTCATAAAAAGTGGGGTGAATACTTTTGCAAAGGCACTGAATGGAAAAGTCTTGCAGTAAAACACAAAATAAGCACAGTCATTTTAATAAACCGAGCTTTTCATAGAGAGGTCTGGAGGGGGCAAGATTAGTTTTTTCCTCACTAAGTGTCCAAAAACATGGACGCCTCAGCAGTTGTAGTAGTCAAATGTGGTATATGGAGGGGAGTCTCTATTAGAACGCGGTAACCACGCCAAGGTTCTTGTTTCTTGCTGTTGTCTTTACAATGCATAAAAATACCTGCGGCATCTGTAAACAGGAGCAGGTCTCCATCCCAGACCGCTTAATAACAGCTCCCCATCTGAAATTCGTTAGCTCAGTGAAACAGTATCCTGCAGCGACGGATGTCAACATAGAGGTCTGGTCCAGCTTGCCTGAATGGGGACAGCCGGTGGGTCCTGGAGCTATTGGCAGAGCTAACCTTCTGCTCAGTACACAAAATACCCCAGAAAATAGAAGGTGGGCGGGGGAGAATGAGAGAGAGGGGCTGTTGAGACGGAAAGTGTAAGTGAGTGAAATAAAAACTCTGGAGCAGTGAAAGTAGAATCAGTCGCAAGAAGTAAAAAGTACCTGTTTTCGCATTGACGCTACCCTACTGATTTTTCCATAGAGGTCAACGGTAAAGGTAACAAAAAAAAAAGAAGAAGAAAAAGTAGGCCACCAAAACAGGGATGGGTTTGTGACCTTTAGAAAAGGATGTCTGTTTTTCTGACTATCTGGTGAGACTAAAGTGGAGCAATACCCAAAGGCCTCAAGATGTGCTTCAAAGTTTTTTATGTATATATTTTAGGGTCAGAAGACTCTCATTCTTTCCTCACATCCAGGAATTTTCGGCGAGCATGAGGAGAAACAGGTCGGCCATAGAAATAAAGGAGACAGAGACGCAGACAGGCTCAGAAGAGAAGAGGGGAAAATCTGAGGTGGAAGAAAGTAGCATACAATCGTTGTGATTTTCCCTGGCAGCTTTTAGCACTGAAAATGTGCTTCTTTTCCTCCGTCTCTCTTTCTCTCTCCCCACACACACACAGAAACCCACAAGGCCCTACGTGCTTCTTCCTCAACTGAAGCTGTTAAAACCAAAACGGTAAAAGTCAAAGAAAGAAAAACACCAAAGTTAAAGATCACATTTTCTTCCTCTCCCACCAGTGGCCGCTTGCAGCGCCGAGACTTACCGAGCAGTGGGTGAACAGGTTTACGTTAGGAGAGGGAATGCACATAACCGCTGAACTGTAAGTGTCCTACTGTTGACATATGACCCATGGCAGGTATAAACTTCAACCGGTCCCCCGACTCTCTGATTGCACTCAACTGAGCTCAGATTTGCCCGGAGCAACATGCTATCAAAAAAGGGGGAAAGAGCTTTTTACGAGGTATCCTGAAATTAAAGGAGGCATTCCACAGAAACTGCAGCAACATACAGCTACGATCACTGTGAAGCAGATAAAACAACTTGCCTTCCAACTCCTTATTTAGGATGGAAAACAAAAAGTAGTTTTGATATATACAAATATATCATGTTGTTGATCTGCTCAAGCTTTTTGATTTACTGTCCCTGAAAATATAAGATAATGATATTTAAGTGAAATAACTGGATACATTTTTATTTATGCAGCTCCATTTACATTATAAATCTAGGAATGACATCTAACCCAAATTAACTACATGCTACATGCAAGTTACGGCTGAACAATAAATCCATAACAACATATGGTGCAATAGAGACGTGATCAATATCAGTGGATAATATATCTGATGGAATATTCAATATTCAAGACATAGAATATTTGCTGAGCTCCGGTACAAAACAGAAGCACTTTATTCTGGGAGATGTAAGGAGAGGCTTTAGCTGCTCGACCTGTCACCGTAAGCTAAGCAAGGTTGGTGGCATTTAATGCATTCGTTGGTTACTTAGCAACAACTTGAGTAATTTTTCGCAGCAGCAGGTTCAGGTTTCAGGAAAGGTCATACTACAAGTTTGGCAGTTTTTTAGATATTTAAAACAAAATCAAAACTTATCAATAATTATTGATATCGGAGATTATGAAATGCTTATATCGATTCATATTTTCAGCCATATCGTCCAGCCCTAATCCAAGTCAAACAATGTGTAGGATTTTGTAATCGTTATGCTCCATCACACGGCTAATTATTGTTAGCTATACCTGCCAGTAGCATTGTATGTCTCTACATGTTATGCATTCAAACATGATTTACATGTTTTTATCTGTGGAATAATGACATGGAAGCCACCAGTGTTTAGTAAGCGTAGGTGTTTTCAACATCCGGCAGCCATATTGGATTTTGGAGTCATGATTATGGTTGGAATTCTGCCTTCCTGCATACTTTACCCAACTTGAAAATGATCATTTCCTTCTTCTGACATCCAATAGAAATAAAAAATTATTTTTATTCTGTATTTTTTACTGACCAAACAAAACAACCTTTTAAAAAGTGTGTTTCAGACCATATAGGGTCTCTGCTTCTGAAAGAAGGCATAGACACCTTATTTCTCATTTACTATTTTATGGTGATTTAAATTAATTCAGCTATGCAAATAAAAATATAAATTAGCACGACTATTGCAATAAATGTGTCATTTATTCCAACAGTGTTTTACTAATATTTTATAGGCTTAAAGCTATTAATAAGGACAGCTTTTGGTATATGTAAGTAACCCGTTTGTCTAGTATTGATTGCTTATAATTGATCAGAAGACATTGGTTAATAATTCATCAACACTTTCTGGATAGACTCCCTGCAGACAGTGTTGTTGTTGATTTAAATCTGGATTCTATTAGGACGCATGCTTGTCTTGGGCTGTTTAAATGTACTGGACCCAGAGCCATGTCCAAACACCATGTAAGAAAAATGCCTAATGCACTTTGAACTGGAATAGCAGAGCTCCTTTCCTGTGAAAGTACTCACACACGGCAGGTTCGCCTCCTGAGCTACGCTATCCGCTAAGTCTCTGGGATTTGTAACAGCATGAACAAAAGGCAGGTGAAAACCTGATCCCATGATTTACAGTTGGCAGAAAGCAACGCCGTCTCACCTGCTGTCTCTTTCTTCACCCCTGACTCAGTCAGTCTGGAAGTGCACAGAGTCCAGATGCAGGTTCTGCAGCTCTGGCTCTCTGTGGAAATCAAGGCGAGGGCGAACACATTGGAGAGGAAGATAAGTGGCCTCTCTCCACCTCCTTTCCTTTTGTGTGTGAAGAAGAAGTCTGTTGATGTGCCTTGAGGAGACCCTCTCCTCTGTCTTTGAGTCCCAGCAGACTCCGAGAATTTAAAGCTGCAGACCGTTCTCTCGGGGTCAACAAAACGACCGTTTATCTGATGGTTCCTGGCTCCAGCGTGGCGTTGGAGCGCTGGAGAGCTGCAGGGAAAACAAAGAGAACATGTTCTTATTTAGTGACGTCTTCTTTCCTCTTTAGAGTCTTTTTTGACATTAGGTTACATTTAACTTTAAACATATCATGCAGCCGCCCACACTGTAATATGACAGCTGAGGGAGTGAGATTAGCAGTTTAGTTTAGCTTAGAAAACCTGCTCTTAAGGTTTGTTCAAATTAGTTTTTCTAATTAAGGTTCTGTGAAGTTTTTTAGAAAATATGATGGCTACCCATGTCTGTTGGAAGATGAAAAAATCTCCATAACAATGGAAAGTTAACAGCTTTCTCATTATAGAAATGTGATGTTACATTTGTTTTGAAGCTCTGATTTGGGCTCAGTGTCATGCCCAAGGTTAGCGGTTTCTAGTTGCTGATTGTTTTGGTGCTAGCTGTCAGTAGGCCTCTAGCTGATATTATATTTCTCCAGACTCTATGGATTTAAAATGTTGCCTATGGATACTCTGTTTTTCTCAATATCTAACCCCTTTACACATTCAGATTTTTCCAGTTTTGTTTGGAGGGAAAAGTATCTTGCAGCCTCAAGTGATTTTAGTCGCTAGTAGCTGCGGCCCACTTGTATTTTTAGCAACAACAACAACAACAAAAAAAAACATGCATGGGTATCCTGCAGATGACAGTGAGGGGAGTTTTCAGTTTTTCATGGATGGCAAAACAGAGGGGTTAACCAGAGGCCGTGACATGCTCCTTACTCTCGCACATCATCAGCTGCAAAACACTAAAACAACAGGAAAGAGCCTCTCTGAGCACATCTCTGCGTGATGGATAGTGAACAATAAAGCACAAACTGATGTAACCCCCTTTTTGGACAGACACACAATCGCTTCACTTTGTAAAAATAAAGGAAAGTAATTTAAGACAGGCAACAGTTGATTTAGAGCTCCACGCTACTTGTGCAGTAGTAAATTGTGTTCTATACAGGTGCACAGCCAGATTTCAACCAAATGACCGCAACCTACTGCATTATGATTGCTTCAGTATGTGTTTTTTTTTTTTTTTTTTTTACACTGTGTGCAGATTTCCAAACTAGTAAAATCTCGAGCTGTCTAAAATCAGCCTGCATAGGAGCTCTCATAGTCCAGACTCCTTCGCTGCAGCTTTTATCAGATGGCTGAGTTATTTTACCATAAAGCCACCGGTAATGAGGCGTGCAAAGAGTTTTAATGTCTCCTTTCATATCTCAATCACCGAGATGTAGTGCGTTCGCCTTGGTTTGATGCTTTTTAATGGTCTTGTGTTTGCGTTATGCTTCATTGGTTGTGTGAAACTGAGCTTTTGTTTTCATCAAGTTATCATCACATGCACACAGAAGCTCTCGCGCTTCGAACTTCTGAGTGTGCTTTTGATAAACACTTTGATTGTTGAGCTCTGTTGTGGTATTCTCGCGCTCGTAGCTGCAAGAGCACAACTTAACCCAATCAGGCTGAACTGTACAAACTGGAAATCTGGCACAGATTTTTAGAGCAACATTTCAAACATCTGCAACACGTTCGGTGAATTTTCTTGCCAGTCCGGTTCACTTTGCGGGTACCAGTCGCACAAATCTGTGAAATCCTCCCTGTACGCCATGTATATCCTGCAAATATTTCCATTTGAATTTACTTATTTGAAACACCGTTAGTTATCCGGTCTCCAACAACCGCACAATGAATTCAGAGGAGTCATTGTTAAGGGCACTGGAGATCGCCTTCCACGTAAACACCTCCCTCCCTTCATCCTCCCCAGAGACCGACCTCAAGCGCACACACCCGCGGCCTCCTGGGCCCCGGGAGGAAATGAGAGGAGGAGGAGGTGAAGAAGAGGGAAGTGTGGCAGGCCCACAAAGAGAGACAGACTGTGGAGTGATAGGGAGAGGCAGAACATACCACCTAAGATCAAAGGCAGCGGTTGTGCGCCAATGTAAGCTCATCGGTGGTGGGGCTTTCAGTAAAAGTTGTTGTCTTTATGGTCCTAATTTGGGATACCACTGTTTTACTGTTCTCGAGCCTTTCTAGAAAGTCTGGCTATGCTTTAGGGGAACAGGTGAGGCACACAATGAAACTCAAAGGTGGTGCTATTTTGTTTGGCAACAAGCCTGATTCATCTAAAAAGGCTTGGAAAACATCTTTGTAGTCTAGTATTTTAATCAAGTGTAGAAATTAATTGAATTAAATTGCAAGTTATTCAGAAGGCTTTGCGTTTTACTCCATTTCCATCGATCATGGTTCTGATCACCAACTGGGGCGACTGACTCTTTTGAAAAATGACACAATCCACAATCAAACTGAAATGACTGATCAAACTCCTTCATGATGAAGTAATTTATCGGAGTCATAGCCATACAACAGAATATGAGGGGGTTTTTGAGGACTGCTTTAAATCATTTGCTGAAGTTGGTACCAAAAGTCAATCAAGACTGGTACAAATTGGGATGGTCAATACAAAATGCCCCGTAAAAGTTGGGTATGAAACAAGCAACGCTGCAAATGTATCGAAATGAAGAGGGTCAGATGACCAGCACCCCACTTTGGTCTTTCCTTGGCTTCTTTCCTCAGTTTCATCAGTTATCTGAAAGACCACTTCTAAAAGAAAAAAAGTGTATCAAGCGTCTCTCATTAAATCAACGTTCAGAAACAACAATCTAGGTGATTTCTGAAAAGCTTCAAGTGGCGGGTGAAGAGTCATAGTGATCACTTCGTAACCATTGATTTTTCAAGGGTTAATTGGCTTTGCGGCTCCAGGGTCCAAAGTAGTGACGACAGACAGCCTGTACGATAATTTGGCACTACACAAATACTCACCACACGTTGGTTGTGTTCTAATTATTGGCAACATAAAACGT